AATAAAAGACCTAGAGACTGATATTGGAGTTCAAGCTTCAAGATGAAGATCAGAGAAGTAAAGCTGCCAAGCCGGTAGATCTTACATCTACCCAGCTGAAATGGCAATCCTGTCCCCACAAATCCTCAGAGGCAAAAGATTCTCAGTTCTTGTTTCCTGGTCCTTTTACTCCTTTCTCTGTCCAGCCTTATCACTCCTGTCTTTACCTCCCTGGTGCTGGTATCTTTGTTTTGTTTTGTTGTTTCAAGGCAGGGTTTCTCTGTATTGTTTTGGAGGCTGTCCTGGAACTCGCTCACTCTGTAGACCTGGCTGGCCTCAAATGCACAGAGATCTGCCTGCCTCTGCTTCCCGAGTGCTGGGATTAAAAGCGTGTGATCCCAGATCCTAAGATCACCTTTATGTGAGTTGTTTCTTTTAGAACTGGACCAATTAATTTCATGTAGCCAATGAGGCCTTGAACTAACAAAGATTGATCTACATCTTAATCTTGAGTCCTGGTATGAAAGGTGTGTACCACCACTGCCTAGCTCTATGGTCACTGGGATTAAAGGTGTGTATGACCACTCTGCATGACCTCTATAGCTTGTGGCTGACTTTGCTTTCTGAATCCTCAAGCAAGCTTTAATAAATCATAAATAATATATTGCCACAGAGAAATATGCTTTATGTCATTGATACACATGACAACTGCTATTGCCTTGGAAAATCTGACAGAGATCTTTGGTCATTTTCACAGAACTTAATTAAAATGGTGGCTAACACTTAAACAACAATAGGAGAGAAATAAATGATCATACTTACTAGAGCTTTTTAAAAATGTGAAGGTAATAATAAATCTTATAGGTGTTGAAAATGACATCTGGAAGACTATTTTGGGATGGACTTTTGAGTGATTATTTGACATCTATTTTGAACATTGAAATAATGAAGTCATGGAAATTTTGGTCTAGTTATGTACAATTTGGTTACAAAATTTGATTTTTTAACAAATTGCTAGTCATTTCAATAAAGCAATTGATGTTTTAATTGGTGTAATTTAGTTACATTTATATGTCCTATCAAAAATAGAATGTAGTTTTGTATGAAAGGAAAGAAAAGAACGGTCAGTGTTCTCCTTGACAAGGATACAAGAAGTACTTGAGTCTAACAATATGCATATGATGAAGATACATATTGTCACCTACTTTTTGGCATTTATCCACTGTTTTTTTGTTTTTGTTTTGTTATTATTAAAAGGTGAAAAATATAATGTAATATAATGTAAAGGGAATTTTGACAATTGATGAAGTAGTTCATTAAAATAAAACACAGATGGAGGCCAGGGAGATGATCTAGTAAGTCAAGCGCTTTCTTTGAAAATATAAGGATTTGAGTTTAGTTCTCCAAGACACATGTCAAAAGTTGGATGTACTGTGCATTTATAATCTCAACACTGGGAGGCATAGACAGGAAAGTCCCTATGCTCACTGGCCAGCCATTCTATGAGATCAGTGAGCTATTGTTCAGCAAGTGATCTTGTCTTAAAAAGCGAGATGGGGGACAATACGGTATAACAACTGACATGCACCACTGGTTTCCACATGTCCATGCACAAGTATGCATACCTATACATACACTCATATATCACACATGCACACCAAAAGATAAATAAAAATAAAGTGACTTGAAATAAAACGAAAGAACTGAGTTTGGATTGACACTTTAATGGGAACATTACCAGGAAGGCAAAAATCTACCTCAAAAATGAAAGTAAATATGTATGGTGAATAAGTACAAAAAATAATAAGTGAAGTGTGAGTGTATGCCACAGTTGAGACAGAAGTTAATATTTCACAGCCAACATCAGGGCATGCTAAATTCTATATTCCTCGGCTGTTTCTTTGACTCTAAAAGGAATAGCAGAAGCATTCACTGTTACTGAAGACAGGAGGAAGGAAAGAGGGATAAAAAGAAAATGTAGTTGCACTAATTTTGTTCATTCTCCAGGACATAACCTTTCCTTACCATGAAAATATTCCTTTCTGGGAATTAAACAAGGCACTTACAAAAAGGATTTAAATCAAAGAAACATCAACTAGTTCATGGGAGTGGAAGGGATAATGCTATGAAAGTCTGTCAGCTCCATCATAATAAAAATCATGTCCATTCTGTTTACTTCTGGAGTGATACCTGCCACAAGCAAGTGAACACCCCTTGAGGAATTATCAGATCTGTGTTTTATTTCTAGAAAGAAATTTTTAGCTAAGTGTAAACTATGACAAAATGGAGACAATGAAACTAAGTTCAAGTTCTGTAGTTTACAATTGGCCTTTACGTCTAAGACTGATCAGTACATTCAATGCTGCTGTGAGATAAGAGTATGCAGAAGCAGGTTAGTGTAGAACAATTTTATTCACATGAGAAAGGGAATTTGTGGATTTAGAAAATGATAATTACTGCATAAAGGTATTGCAATAACATCAGCTGGAGTAGAATGACTAACCTGCCATTTTACTAGACACTTTCAATAATGCTTTATTAAAAATCACCTTGTCTCATTCAATTTCATCATATAGGTTATCTGATAAGATAACTGCAAAAGGGGTAAGTTCCAGCTGTGTCTAAAGATAAAATCTTTCTATACAACCATGGTTGAAATGCTAACAACCAGTTACAGCTTAGATATTAGTTCTATATTTACACATCACAATCTTCCTTCCTTTCTTTATCCATGTTGAACAACTTCCTAAGGCTTAGCAGACATTTATCAATACTCTTGTTTCCTGAATGGAACATCTAAGTAAAAATAATCTTTTTGTGGGTCTGGAGATATAACTCAGTGGCAGAACACTTGTTTGGCATGTACAAAAAGGTCCTAGGTTCAATCTTTAGAATCAATGAACAGATATGTAAATAATCCTTTTGTAGAAAAGAAATTCGTATCATTTAAATATGCTAACTTGTAAGAGTCATACATTGAAGACTGTATTTTTGAAGTTTCTGCAACTCATCCATACCTGTTACTGTCAGGGTAATAACCCAGAAGGTATAACTTGATTCAGAGAACCAGGTGAGACTCAAGACAGATCCAGAATGTCAGGCATGAAAGAAGTTCTGAGCCAACAAAAGAGAACACTCTGTAGTTTTTGTAACAGAATGCCGTTCGTTCTCTGCTGTGTGCTTTCCTGCCAGCACAAACTTCCTTTTCATTGACCTTGAGCTAGACTCTCCATTCTTATTACTCCATCACTCCTCACACTAATACAGCATCCTGAACTTCCAGGAAGCAACCACTGAGATTGAATTTAAATTAATACCTTGTATTCCTTGTGACTCAGAACACGAAGAGTTGTAAGGGACAATTTACCAAGCTAAGTTTCATTTTTAACAAGTCTCTGATATTAAAATGTAAACTCATTGTCAAGAGGAAACTATTTTTACTCAAATGCTATCATTTAACCAATTATAAAATTCATGCTATATATATATAATTATATTTAATCTTTTTAGAACTCAATGGGTGTTGACTAATAACCAGGAAATAAAGGCATAAATTTGCCTTTACAATTCATAGAAGAGGAATAATAAATAAATAATTTGCTAACGCAATTCCCCAAATATATTCCCTAACTTTCTTTAAAGAAGACCAAAACAGCAGTATTTCCAACAAGCAAACATCCTTTTGTGCAATCTAGTTGTCCTGAGGTTTTCTTGCATCCAAATGGTGTCTTCTAGTAGTGTACTAAAGCAAAACTGAAGCCAGGCAATCCGTTCTTTGCCCATAAATTGCAGTCTTACTGATTCTCATGTACCTTTTTGTGCCTTTGCACTGCTGTCAACTTGCCACATGTGGGCCTTTCAACTTCTAACATTATTCTTCAATATGAATGTTTTCTCTTTAGTTTGCAATCATGGACTTGATGTTTTACACTAGCAAATTTCAGCTGTATGCCCCTATGTTATTCCTCCTTAAAGCATTGTATTTTTAATTTCTATCCTGCCATATTGTTGTGTCAGAACTGTTATTTCACAGCAACTGACAGAAATTGCAACAACAGCCGAGTTTGAATACTGGATAAAAATATAGATGATGCTAATTAAATTTGCTTTCTTATCTGGAGCCCACAAATAGGGAAATAGGTGTGTGTCCCTCAAGTATTAAAGTCTATGTTAATTTCAACTATGAGATTGCATGGCTATTGTAATTAAATAATTAAAGAGGGGCATTAGTAGTTTGTTGTTAGTGTCATATTTCTACTTTCCATAAATACACTACTTGGAAGAATATTATTTGTGTAGAAGTGCATGTTTCTATGGGCTCTAAATCTCCAAAGGAAAGTAGAGATGTTTTGCATACAATCTAGATATACAAATATAAAAGAGAAATAAAAAACACATTCATACACATTTGAATGGTGAATACTGGCGTGTGCTATCGATTGGAGGAAAATCTATCACACACTAAATTGCTGAGAAGCAATTTTAGTTGTTTCTATTTTCTTTCTTTATTTCCTTCTTTCTAGTAAATGGTTTTTAAAAGGGGAAATGTTTTTATGTGCATTTCACATTGTATTTTATTAGAAGTTGCTTTCAAATCTAATAACCATTAACAATATAGAAAAATCATGCTCCTATGTTTCTTATTTCCACGGTAAAAATGAATTTATTTAGGAAGAAATTTAAATTATATAAAATAAAATATTTTACATTTCTAAAGAAATGCTTACACTAAAATTACAGAAAGTATAAGAGTTTTCTTTTCTTCCTTTACTCTCCTATAAATTGGTAATACTTGCTTCAAAGAAGCAGGTTTTAGAATAGAGACTTACTTATGCTATATGAAATTTGACATACTTGGTTAAATATTTAAGTTGATTTAACATTTAATCAAGAGTTGTTCCCCCCCAAACAAATTGTAACATCAGATAGTTTTTTTTAATTTCAGCTTGATATTCTTATGAGCTTTCATTTAAAATCCAGTGTCAAAATGAAAGATATTAAACAGCTATTTCATTCTGACATCATAAAATAAACTGAACTTTATTTTAGAAGATGTATTTAACAACCACATAATTAGAAACATTTTATTATACCAGCACAGATGTAGTTATTAACAGTTTTCACAGCAAAGATGTGTCTATTGTACAAGAGGCTGGAATTTCTAACTCATAGTTATGAGATAATACAGCTATACGTTATTTTACTCAATATAAGCCCAATTATATGTGAAATCAAAAATGGGTCTTAACTTTTCAAGAAGCGTCCATTTCATTTATAACATTGTTCCATACAGAAAATTACAGACAACATTCAGAAGTTTGCACACACTGCTGCCATTTCTGCCTTCCTCGTGATGCTACTCACAGTAGTCCGCTTTCTGGGATCTTTGCCACCTGAGTACAGATATTGACTCAATAGGAAAATTTCAAAGGTGAACTTCTGGATATATTAATTAATATGACTCAAACATGTCAGCTTCTTCCAAAACATAACTTGCTTTCTTATTCCAAAGTGTAGTCTTTGAAAACTGCAGTTAATATTAATACAAACAAACACAACAGCTCTTTATCTGAGGCCTTATTTGGGTTTTAACATCCTTTAAATTAAGTAAACACCCTGTTCCTGGTATCTTTATTCTAAATAAAATATTTACTTTTATTAAATTTCACTTATGGGCAGAAGATGAAACTTGTTTTATATTCAGATGCCTAGCAGGAGAAAGATTATTTTCCTTGATATTTACAATTTCATATTTTCCTATAAAACTGCAAAGAGAAAGAATATAGAAAGCATCCACCAGCGGTCAAAGTCAAACATGACTTCTCGCTACCTGTATCATAAAAAATAACCATCCCAGGGGCTCCCAGAACAAAAACAGGGTGGCCTTTCAAGGGGAGAGTGTGATGGGAGCCTTTAAATTCCACAGATTAAATGATCCTAAGAGCTTAATGTTTCCAGGGCTTATTGAAACTCGTACCATCTGGCTTCTGTAACCAGTGTGTTGTTTCTTGGAGCCCAGCAGAGGGCGCTCTGGCATTGTTGACACCAGATACCTCCCTGTTCCCTGCACTAGCATCTTGTTCCCTGGAAAGAAAGACTCTATTTCCCAAGAGGGTTGTCCCGGAGCATCTCAATGGGTCAAGCTGTTCCTAAATTATTCCGAGAAGCTCTCATTTCAGACCCCTAGATAAAAGTTGTGATTGCCGAAGGACTCCCATGGTCCTTTGCACCAAACTCACTAATTGTCCACCTGGGTTGTTTTTCTGGAAAACTGCTGAGCACAGAATTTCACAGCAAGAAAATTTTGTAATGGGCATTAATCTAGACGATTATTTTTAAAATAAATTGAAAATAAATAGTTTTAAAAGAATAGAAACACTATGAATCAATAACCACACTGGACCAGATGACTTAATCACATGTTTGTTCCCTTACTTTTGTAATTCTCTCATAACACACATTTCGTTTCTATTTACAAAATATATTGTTTTAACCGATTAAGCTTTATGAAACTAGAGTTTAGGATGATTGTAAACAAATAGGATTAGATTAGGGAGTACTAGTGTGCTTTTATTATGTAATATGAATTACAACAACACAAACAGGACTGTTTTGAAGCATTAGACCCTTTTTGCTTTGTGAAGTGCTCAACGGACTGTGGATAGAGGCCATCAATACAACTGGATGAATACTGGAAGGAAATAGGAGCCTGTACGACAGCCTGCAATGCTTCAAACCCATTTCCATTTCTGGTGACTGTTTTTCATTGACAAAAGAGGAACATCCTAAAGCCATCTTCTTTGTGTTTGAGAAAGCTCTCTCCCAACACAGCTTTCAAACTCTGTACCCCCATCTTATATGAAATCAAACACAAACCTAAAGTTTGCAAATTCAAAAGTGCTAATCTATAGGATTTTAAATCAGAAAACAAATAAAATCCATCTTTCAGGATGGAGCGAGGAATTAGACCACCAAGGATATTGTTTCTGACCTCTTTTATTTCCAGACAGAGTGGATACGTTTCTGTCATTCAGTTTTTAAGAGAAAAAAGTGATAAAAACGCATCTTTTAGGCCATTGCCCATACATAGCCCATTCTATACCTGCCAAAAAATCGCTGCCGCTGTCTCGTTTGCACAACCTGGTTCAGTTTCTCTATGGATGATGCTTGGCAACCTTTATGATTTTTTTTCCCTGGACCTAGGCTGGATACATATCATTTATTGCCTAGTTCTCTTTCCATTGCAAATATGACTACAGAACTTATTGTTTATTGTTTATATACAATATTCTCGATGTTTAAATTAGAATGCTGAAATATGCTTAATGTTTTAAATACATATTGAATGCATTACTTCAGACACATCTGACCCACAAATCCTGAGGCAAATCTTCATTATATGGAATTTGGTAATCTGCCCTGCCTCTGAACCTCTGGTGCTGGGTAGCTACAAGGAGGAGAGTTCTGCAGTATGGCTCCCTTCCCCCTCCCCGCAGTGCAGGAGTCTGGCCTTCTGGGCCTGCAGTACCTCCTTGAGAGGTGATGTTGTCTGTCAGCTCCGCATCGGGGCCCCATTGCTATGTGGGTCTGGGCCTCAGAACTTGACTGCCCTGTCCAGAGCCCCGATGAGAACCTACCTATACAGTGGTTGTAGGCTGCTTTCCTCCTGCCTGCCTTGATCACCAAATCGGTCCAGTTTTATCCTCTTTAATACGTCTTGAGGCATACTCTGGGGACATTTGAGAGGTACCCTTGGTAACCTCATCTGCGCTATGATCCCTAACTGAGGACTTGTGTCTCTGTTTTCAGGGTTGTGATTTAGGAAAAGCAAAACAAAACAAAATTTCCCTCTGTTTCATCTCTGTCTTGGAGGTTTTGTCCCTTAGTCGGATTCTGGTTTCAGTCCAAAACAACTGATCATCATAACAGGGTGGACAATTTCAGTAAAACACCGTTTAGATGTCTACAATCTTTACGTATCTCAAAATTTTATTTGTAAATTACCTAATATCCTGGATTTTTTAAGGGAGGGAAGAAGAAATTCTATTGCCTTACTTGGAGAATTATGGATAGAGGAGGAAGAGGAAGGGGGTCCGGTCAGCACCACGGACAGCGCAAGGAACGGAGGGCGCGGCCACTTTGGTGCATCGTTTCCCAGCCTAGCCTTTGTTCCCAGGCCAGGCAGACCACTATAGAACAAAGACTTCCATCAAGGCTTTCTCCTCAGCCTTGGTTTTCTTAGGCTCCAAGGTTGTGGAGTGGATCTGTCTAAACTAAGTCTACCTCCATGGTCTTCCAAATAAATTAATTTACCAAGTCCCCGAGTTTCTGGCTTGGTCTTTCCCCTTATTTAACAACTTTGACTGATTTGGGTATTGCTACGACTTTCCCTTAGTCTTTCAAAACCCGAAAAGGCCGCCATGAGATTGGGTAGGGAATAGGAGAAGTCAAGGGCTATGGGTGTGGGATTTTCCTATTTCCACACACGATTGAGTCACTTGAGGTTTTTGCACAATGTGGTCTGGAGGCTATTTAATGCTATACCTCCTCATCCATTTTGTTTTCCCAGTCCCGCCCAGGATTGAGGACAAGCTCTCAATCTGTCTTGATAAGGCCAAAGCTTTTCAGGGTTCTAGACCGTTTGCACCATGGGAGCTACCGCTGTCTGACAGCTGTCAATGAAACCTGTAATATTCCCCCTTGGGGATATGCATGCGGGGTTCCCGGATTCTCGCTGAAAAACATATGACTCTCTCGCATTCTAAAGATTCTGAATCAATGCAAGGGGTCCTTATGCCTCACAGATGGGTTCATTCTAGCTTCCTTCATGAGGCCTGGAATTGTTTCTTCCCAACCTTCCTGACCCTGAGTCTCTCTGATGTCCTTCAAGTGCAGTCGTAGGCTCCGCTCTTGGCATTCACCGCGTGCCTTAATTGTATGACATTAAATCAAGGTCCGCTGTGAACACGGAGGGCAGAGTCTCTGATCTTGATCCAGAAGCAACTGACTCATTGCAACTATCACACTTTCCTCTCTGCCTTTCACCCTCCCCTGGAGTTCCGGGCTTGGAGTTCCTACCCCCAGGGTCGTAACTCAATGCACCCAGCTCAGCTCTCCTCCTGCCACATCTGCTAGAGTTGGCCGTTAATTAGTCTGCATAGTGCAAGAGTAGATGGTGCATGAGCCTGCCTATACTTATGCATACATCTGCATGCCATTCAGAGCGCACCTAAAATCCATACATACGTCTATAAATCTAGTTTTCAAATGATGGCGAGGATCGAAGTTAATTACCCCTCTGGTACAGATCTAATTTCCTAATCGTGTTATTTTACTGAAGGCAATTAGCTGAGTTGGTTTGCCCTGATCCCTTCCTAAGACATTTGTAAGGAAAGGCAAGTCTTAAAAGACCACGCCATGAGTGTTCTGCTCAAAAACAAAAAACAAAAAAAAAAACCTTTGTCAGTTGTCTCCTCCTGTCTGCTGTCGGAGCAGAAATCTAGCAGATAAAAGCGAATATAAACATGCGTGTTTGTATGTCCGACAAACACACGAATATGCCTCTGATACCCTGATTTTGGTTGGGAAATTTTGGGAAAAGATCAGAATCCCAGGACAGGCTGGTTTATCCTTCTTTGTATGGCGGAAACATTAACTCAACAGCACCTGCCGAATCCCTGGAGAGCTGGGGCGCATCTGGTCTGGCTATGGTTTTACTGCGGGAAGAAAAGGCTGCTTGCTTAGGCTTCCTCCGGCCCTGGAGAGCAGAGATGGGGTCAGAGACCGCTCTGGGCGTAGGTTAAGGGCAGCGCAGCATACATGCACTCTCTGCGGCAAAAGTCGGGAGAAGACCCGAGTCTGGGCAGAGGGAGGGAGAACTGGAAAGAGGAAGAGTGAGGGGAGTTGACCTCTATGGGCGGAGCCCCCTGGACAGCGGGCTGGAGGCGGTGGGCAGCGGCTCTTTTCACAGCATCCCTTGCAGCTGGTTGGGCCAGGGGAAAGGACGAGCTCCAGCTCACTCGAAGGAAACCAAAGAACTCAAAGCAGGTTTTGTGCAGAGACCCCAGAACGCTCCCCTGAAAAACAGAATCAAAGAGCAGAATTAGAGCAGGAGGCGGAGGGAGGAGGGCGAAGCTGGAGAGGAGGGACGGGAGGCGGGATGAAGCATTCAGGGAAGCCGAGGTGACCCGCTGACCGGACCTAGTGAGTTGAGCCGGGGGCTCCACTCAATGGGCCGGGAGACAGGGGAAATGCGAACTCAGTCTCGGCTTCAGGCTTCAGAAGCTGAGAGGATGCAGTCAGGACCAAAGAAGTGGATTCCGGAGATGAAGTGGTGAGAGCGAGTCCTCAGAGTGTCCTCTGTGCAGTCCCAGCGATTCGCGCATCCCGCGCACCCTTACCGGTCTAACCCCTCCCTCAGACCGCACGCGCCAGAACCGCATTCTCCAATCTCCACCCCTTCTTGGTTTAAGCTCCTGCAAGCTGCAAGATGGGAGAGTCCCCGCAAGAAAATCGAAACGATCGATGAAATAAAGAATTACATATACACATAGCCCTAGAAATCCAAAGGAGAAAGAGCTGCTAGCTCTGCCCAAACCTGCCGAGGACCAAAGCGTTTTCAGGCGCTGCTCGGTGTGTTCTCGGAGAAAAGAGGAGGCTGAGCCGCTTCCACGGTATAAGGTGCTTTAGGGTGGGCGGTGGGGGCAGGGAGGGGGTGGATCGTAGCGGTCCGGTCTTTCCCCCTCGCTTGCTGATCCAGAATTAGGGATTAATGGCTCGCTCCAGCCAAACAAATAAGGCATCTGCCTTCAGCACAAGAGGATTACACGGGCTGCTGACGTCACCAGTCAGACAGATGTTGGCTCCCAAAGTCCTGAACAGCTCCCTGTGTCCTTGAAACCAAAGAGCCGCAGAAGGCGCACCCCCTGGAGCCGCGCCTGGGCAAAGCAAAGGGCAACCGCCTTGCCCTTGCCTACACTCTCCTGGGCTCCAGCAAGCTGGCCCCAAGACAACTCCCCAAAAAGTAGCTTCTCAGTCTCTCTAGCCCTCCCGTTGCACTCCGCAGACCCCTGACAAGGTCCGGGCTGACTCAAACCAAATCCAAGTCACCGCACTTAGTTTCCTTTTCCTAAAATGGAGACAGTGAACTACTCTCTAGTTCTTCATCTAGGATCTGGCATCCAAGGACTTGGGCATGAACAATAAGCATCCCAGGCTGCACTCAGCTATGCTCCAGATGAGGGACCATCTCTTAATTCTGTGTCCAAGACTTATCTGCACCTTCTCTATTCCAGAATTGTCCTTTCCCCGGTCCAAGGTCTAAATTTATGCTTAATCTTAGGAATGCAACCCGATGGAATGCCTTCTTAAACAATGACTCCCTTCCAAACTATGTCTGCTTTCCATTCAGCCCTGGGCCACCATTCTAAGAACCATAGAATACCATCATGGAGATGATAGAGATACCATCAAATGTCATTGAATATTCTCAAATGCTCTGAAGGTACTGCTTTGTTTGCTTGTAAATACGGATGTCTAAAATATATCTATTATCTCCGCTAAGAAACGAAGACATTTCAAAGAACTGCAGTTTCATTCTATGGCCAACATGGTGGCTGAAGATTAGTAATTCATTTTCTTGCAAATGTCAACATAACTCTAATTTTATTTTAAGTTTAAATATAAATTGTTTTTATTTTTCTAACTGGTGCATTATGTATGATTTCATATGATCTTCCAGACCTTTACTGGTCACAAAGACCTGTTACAAAATAAGTCAGATGTCATGGGGGTTGAAAGTGGAAATTTAGATGAGCAGTTTTAAGTGCATTATATAACCCAAAGCAAAATAATTTTGGTAAAGTTTATTTCTGAAAAGGTTAAGGTAATGAAACCCAAGCACGAAACAACATGGTTGTTTGACACAGAGCCCAAGAGAATCAATCCTGTGCCATAAACTGTATCAATATGTATGAGAAAGTCTGTTGGTTTCTTGAGGAAAAAATGTTTGTCTAACTATTGTACTGTTACTTATGGGCTACTGCACCTATCCAGGGGCAAATGGTGGAGCTGCAACATATCTCCTTTCATATTATCCCTGTCTATCAAAGTGGCATTTAATTTTTCCAATTCTATGCATTTAGAAACCCAGTCACTGATAAAAATCTATTTAATTTGCTCTAGTGTCATGCAGCTAATCCCAGGCAAAATAGTAAATTTTCCCTGTCTCTATTCGCTTTAAATCTTATAAGGAATAGTCACAACAAAATTCGTGCATTTAAAATTGCCACTTATGTGCGGCACAAGATAGAAATGGCCTTTAGTTGGATAAAGAATTTTTACCTGTGAGAAAGGGCATAAAAATGAACATGGAACTTATCATTTCTTTAAAACACGGTAGAGTGTGCATTCATTATGATTTAAATTCAAAATCTAATTTTAGTTTAAATTCAGAATTTAATCTGAATTGTTACAAAATATAATAATTTTTTTGCCGCCAACAGATACTATGAGGGTAAACTTCCCTTCCACCCCTTCCACACTAGCACAATTTTGCAGCAGTCTGTTGGCTAAATAATTAGTTCGCTGTCCATGGTTTTGATTCATGTTAGGGAAGAAGCTCAGGGTGCTTTGGGAAAATTTGGAAGTCAAGGTGTTTCTGGAGTAATTTGGCTTCCTAGCAATTTAAGATTATGTAAAGGGAGGACAACGGGGAATGGTATATAGGCATTAAGTTTTTTTTCATTCAAGTTCTTTTACTATTTTTTTCTGTATTTGTCACCAAACAGAGTACCAGAAAAAGTGAGTGTGTGTGTGTGTAAGGGGGTACAGGTCATTATTCTGAACTGACAAATGAACACTCTATGTATGGGTTCAAGGATCTGTAATAAATAGGAGATAATACTTGTCGGTCTATCATCTTTCTCTCTCTCCCTCTTTGGTTAAGAAAAGTAACACAGACATTCTTTAGTTTTGTAGAGCCAATGCTGTCTACTTTTGAATGTGGTTTAAATAGAGCATGCAGTTTTATTAAAAATGATACACAAAGGGAGAGAGAGACAGAGAGACAGACAGAGAGAGAGAGAACATGGAACAATACTCATCTGGAACATCTCCTTGTCTTTATTATATGTTCATACAGTGATGTGCAGTTTATATAGTTATCTCACATCTATGATGAGGCAATTAAAAAGAATTCTGTAAGCGTTTATTTTCTAAGGTAGCAAGGCAGGCATGATGATGTCGTGGGTAAGAAGTTTCTCTGTCCAAACAGCAAATAGCGTTCTTTCCTAGGTTTTTAGAATATATGTATAATAGAGTAACAATAAACCTGTCCTGGGGTTCCTACAGGGAATGAAAGGAGAAAGAAAAAATAACTAATTTCCTCCTCCCTCCAGGTAGTTGGTTTATTTTTTTTCTATTTCATTTTCTCCTTCAAGATGATCAGAACAGGATTGTTGTTTACTTATGTGTGTATAACCAGGCACTTAAAATCCATGTCCCAAGAACTCCTAAGGTTCCTTAGAGGGCATTGCCCAGCACAAATCATTTGATACAAGTATATGAACAGCGAGGAAACAAACTCTAGGTTTCAAAGCAAAGTCCATTCCCACCAGGCCAAGGGGCCCAGCCTTAGCCCTTAGCACCTCTCCGGGTATGAGAGGGCTGCTCCTTACCCCCACCCCTCAAAGTATTGAAAACTTGGGAAATCCTCGTACCGGAAGAAAATGGCCTAAACACAATGGGACTCGCCATTTTCTACTTGCAAAGCACAAAGCGCTTGGCGCTGCCCGCCACACAAAGAAAGCAAGCGTGGGCCGCAGAATTCTTGTACATTTTCAAGAGGCTAGAAAATATCTTCCCCAAATGGCAATTTATATTGTTTGGGCACTGTCAGACCCCTCCCCCCATCTCTCCCTGGCATCGTCCCTTAGCCCAGTCTCTAGAAGATCCTAGCTTTGAGGTTTACATAAAAGAGGCACTAAAGGTTCCCTGTTAGCAGTGAGCTGCTCACAGTCACTCTCAGTCTCCCCAGACAAGAGGTCCTAGCAGTGGGCTGCAAAGGGCTCCATACTAGGTGTAGCTGTGTGGAAGCACCTCCTCCCCCAATCTAAAATCCCTGCTTCTGATTCCATAGCTCCATGAGCAAATCTGGTAGCCCGGAGCTCAGAAATCTTCCTGACCCATTTCTTTGGAGCGCCAGGAACCGACCTTGCTGCCAGAGAGTGCCGAGCCCGCGGGCAGCAGCTCTCAAGGATGTTCAGTGCTCAGTGCTCGCGGAAAGCTCTGGTCTGCGCGCCCTGCCCCAGCCCCCAGCCCGCTTCTCCAGACCACTGCATACTACCCAAACCCTGTCACCAGCCTAGGAGAAATGCTGCCGCTCAGGTGCAGAGAAAAAAAACCATCCGGGGAGTCCCTATTAATAAAAACACCCAGACACAGGCAGCAATGCTGCTCACAAAGAGAACACTCTCACTCAGTTCACCGCGCAACGCCGAGCTCAAAAACCCAGGAAAAGACAGTACTTACAGCAGGTGCGCGTTTGGATAATCCGCAGTCAGCTCGTTTGGTTTGTTAGTCTGTGCTTTAAAAAATAAATGTGCATCTCTGTATATTTGATTTTACATCGCTTCCATCGTTGAGAAGGAAAGAAACAAAAATCTTGTAGACTAGAGAGCATGGGGGAGGGGGATGGAGATTTTCATTGTCTACGCTCTGCACACGCAGCCCAAGAAAAGACGAATATTGCTGTGTGTGGTTTCTTCTACTTTCTGCTTGAAATTCAGAAGGTCTCAAAGCAGCAAAGAGGGGGTTTGGTCTCCCTCCCTCTGCGTGTTCCACTCCTCTCTGTCCTCTCTGTTCTCTCCTCTCCTGTCCTGTCCTCTCCTCTTCTCTCCTCTTGTCTCCTACCCTTCTAGTCACTCACCCTCTTGCTCTTCTATAGCTAGTGTTCTCTCTCTCTCTCTCTCTCTCTCTCTCTCTCTCTCTCTCTCTCTCTCTCTCTCTCTCTCACTTTTTTTTCAAAAGAGGGCAGGTCGCTTCCTGCATCCCAATGAGTTAAATCAGTCACTTCTTCTCATGCATCAACAGCCTCTTTAACAATCCGAGGGCTGCAGGCACAAAAGAGCATTTAGCTGCCTCCAATTTGTGTAGAAGGCCTGCCCTTAATTTGTTTTAGGAGTATAATTAAATCATGAATTTCACGTAATATAAAAATACCAAATTCCCAACTTCAGCTAGTGAACCGCTAATGGCAACCTTTGAAAATAAACTCCTCCTCTTGTAAGCCAGGGCCTAGAATGTCCCAGATACTTAAGAGGACCAGGGTCTGGACTCAAACCTGCATGCCCCTCCCCCCTCATATGTCAAGGTCACACTGACAACATCCCTCATCGTTCTGAATCAGAGCCTTCTTTTAATTTTTTTCTTTTATATTTTCAAAAATTAACCCTTCACCATGGAAGGAAATTAAGCCGTTTGGGAAGATCTGGATGACAAAATAAATAAATACATCCTCAGTATAAAATAGAATCAGAATTTATTGTTATCAGACACTAGGGTAGTGGAATGGGGGTGCCCCCACAGTCCTTGCTTGGGGGACTGCTTTCAGCTCTTCCCGGCTCAGACTCTAGTGAAGTCTGAGGTTGCTGGGTTTTGATCAGGTTTCTTCCAGCCTCAGAGTGGGCCTTATGGGACCTCCAGGCAAGTGTCTATCTTGCTTGCACTCTCAGAGGGGTCCTGATATGGTAGACACTGCCAGTGCTAGGGGGTGAGGGTTTGATTCCCCCTCCTCAGTCTAGGTTGGGGCACTAAGATCAAGTCTGCAGTCCTGCAGTTTCTCTTTCAGAAAGAATCCAGGCAGAGCCATTGTTCCTCCTTAAGGAAGATGGCAAAGATGCCTGGTTGTAAAGCCAAAACCCCCTCTTCCTCACTCTCTGACTCACCTACTCCCTCACCCCACAAAAGGCCACTGCTAGGGACATATTTAGGAGTATTTTCTAGTTTCAGAGGCCCCTGTCTTCTGGGAAATTGTGGAATCCAATACCACTAGCATCTTTGTATTTTCAGCAATTTTCTATTAAGTCTACTGTCAGCTCCTACCCATTTTCTAGTTTCAACAACGCTAATTTAGAAACATTGCATGTGGACATCTGAGAGGTTAGGATAGCAGAGAATCACATCCAGTTCCACCCAATGAGAACAAAACAGAACGATCACCATTTCCTGCCTGTGAATTTTCACTTTGATACCCTAAGTCATCCTGGGCTTTTGAGTGAGGCCCCCTTTCACCTTGAGCACAGTGCAAAGTGAACCGGGATAAAACTGCTACATCGGGAAGATGCCCGGCCAGCCACCTGACACCTGACATGTGGTTGAGATATCCGACCATCCTTTCTAAGGAGTCGTTTGAAAAAGGAAAAAACAAAATATGAGAGAAAAACTCTAAAGAAAGCATACGCCCTGTGTATTTGTATAGCACAGTTGCAAAGCGCTTTGTTTAGGGGTTCAAATTACCTAAAACAAAGTACCATTTCAGTGGCTGTGTCCGAATGGAAGGCAGGGCCTCAAGGTTGGTGTTTTTGCTGGAGCAAAGGACACTGGTTTTGGGAGGCACCAGGTTCATTATCTTTCTGTCCTGTATCTTTTTACTGATGATGTTCATTCTATCCGTTTTCAGTTTATTGACCTGGGGTGCGGGATTGTTAAAGATCTTCAAGGACCTGCCTACCCTGTGGAGAGGCAAGGTCACAGAGTGCGCAGTGCATCCAGCTGCAGGGAAGACTCGCGCTAGCTATCAGGGTTGGCTCGGTGGGGAGGTGACTTCAGACCACCCAGGGCACTTTACCCAGCATCCTCTCTAGTCTCCTGTTCCTGCAAAACCAGCTTTTCCTCAACTTTCAGGGTTCCGGGGAGGCCTTAGGCGGGAGCACAAGTTACTAGCGCATTTCTAGGCATGGATGGGCCTCTCCTGTCCTAAGCCCTCCAAGAAAAACTCAAGACTCAGAGGCTAACACTGGGACGTTTGTTCAAGTTTTTCTCCCCATCCATCCGGGTAAAACGGACAGGCCAACTATAACCATCGCCTCCGGGCAGCTCAGGGGATGGAAAACAGTCAGAACCAGCAACATGATTCTCCCAAAAGCACCTCTATTTTGTAGACACCCTTAACTCTTGATCCGCATCTCCCACCTATTTCAACCCATGAAGTTGGGCAAGTGATTACCTTCTAGCCCCGGATTAGGGGATTTCTCTGCACGCGAATCCGTACTGCCCTGCACACCTCATAGCCAGAGCCAGTTTATGAAAACGTAACCCAACTCATTGCCAGAAGTTGTTGCTAATTAGTGGATAATAAACTTCTGTAGCCAGGGCACAAAAGTCTTTTAAAAGTGCAAAGGTGTTCTTTGTATCGCATCAGAAAAGAGATTAGCATATCAATTGGACTGAAGGGACTGGACAATGAGCCCTCCTCCCACTGCTCTGCCCTAGGTTCGCAGCCGTTCTTCTCCCTTGTTATTTTCTAACCTTCCTCCTCCTCCTCCTTCCCTATCCCAGCTGGGTCGAGGCACCCTTGGGGTGCACTGAGCTCCTGGCAGCGACTCAGACAGCAGTATTAGTGCGCGCACCAGGCCGCGGGGGTCGCACAGTGCCCAGGCTTTAGCTAGGTGTGAGCGCCTGGGTGCAGGAAGTAGGAGAGGTCACGGAGGGAGTGAGCGCACGAACCCGGCCTGGGAATGGGGCGCCTGGTGCGGTCTCATCGGACACCCCTCTTGGAAATCCTGGCCTTGCGCACCAGGCCTACCCAGGGCGGGCAGGCTCCCAGAGGATGGTCCACAGTGTGGGCCTCAAGCCGCTGCTAACTCCCTAAGCCCCGTGGCCTCCGCGCCAGGCCCGACCCGCTGTCCAGCCTCGCTTGCACGTGCAGGACGGCGGGGAGCGTTTGGAAGAAGCCAAAGACACCATGCTGGAGGCTGCCACGTCCTTGCGGACCCCGGGTCCTCTCGTCTAGTTCCGGGCCGAGGTGCCTGCCCACTACCCAGTCTGGGTCAGCGATCGGGACCCCAGGCTTCTGGAGAGGCAGAGGCCACAGCAGGCCGTGCCCAAATCTCCGTAATACCTCGCCTGGCCCCGCTGTCCCCAACCGGGTTCCCTAGCCCACTACAGAAAGTCGACGGTTTGCGGGGGCCAGTTGAGAAAGAGCTCAGCAGAAGGAAGTCTCAAGCGGAGCCGCCCTGGCCCCCGGGCGTCAGCTTTTCTGTCGTCGGCATCCTACTCCTCCCAGCCGCCCCTACCACCCCGATGCTGTGGCCGCCCCAGAGCGCAACCGGCCTGGGGTTGCGGTGCCTGGGGCACCCGGGAAGCGGAGGAGGTGGCCATAGTGCTGGGGACCGAGCTGGAAAGGCAGGTCGAGGAACACCGGCAGCAGACACTCGGCTGCCGAGTGGGATCCGCCACTGCGTGGTCGGCGATGAGGGGCCGCCTGGCCTCGGCCTCAGCCGCGGAGCCCCCGCCTGGCAACCGTGCCAAGAAAACGCTTTCTTCTCCCTTCCCCTCCCCCTTCTCCCCAGAGGCAGCTTCCGTTCCCTAAATGCATTAAGAAGGGGGTGAAAAAAAGAAAGAAAGAAATCTCTGGGGCTCTTTCCCCCCCACACACACCAGTCTAGTCTCCGCTAGACACTGGTGTTCCGCAAACAAGCGCCAAACTCAACACAAGTTATCCCTGGAAAAAAAAAATCCACTTTAACTGCGGTGATGTAAAATGTCGAGAGAAAAAGTGAAGGTCCGTGTTTCCCTAAATGCAAAACATCAGAGAGGGTTTGAAAGGAGCTTTGCGTTCCTTGCGAAATCTCCATTGTTACTTGGCAAACAATAGGAGCCTGGGCGACTGCAGGGCTGTGAGAATGAATAGGCAATCCGCGGGATGTGTGCGGGTCAGTGCTTGCGGTCCTGGGCCTAAAGCCCCTTTCTCAGCTTGCCACAATAAACCAGCACAAGGTTCAGTCTTTACTGGGTCACCGGCCATCCTCTATTATTCAACACTTCACAACAAAAAACACTTATTAATCAGCGCTGACCAGAGGCCCCTTTGAAACAAGAGAGGAGAGGGAGAGGGGGGGGGGGGGGGGAGAGGTGAAAAGAAGATTGAGAAGCCTGGGACAGATCTTTCTAAAGCCAGAACAACCATAGGGTCCTTTCCTCCGGTGGCCAAAGTTTATTTGACATAACAAAGTTTTTAATCAGGCCACAGAGACTTGCATTTCTCATTTGCCTTGTTCTCGTCTCTTCCTCTGAAGACTTTGTTGCAAGGAAGGATGGCTTTAGGTCAAATTGCCAAGGCCTGATCTTAAAGACCTAATTGCTATTGGAAGAGAAGGCTGTTCCCCAGCTGGGCCTCCACTCTGGAGAAGGTGCAAGGAAGACTGTCCACTCTGCTGTGGGCACCCTGCTGATGGATGGGGTGTCAGGCCAGTCATCATGTGAGCATTGGTTTCTAAATGGTATGAGCAATCGGCAAATGTGCTGCTTACTGGTGATACTGAATGCAATCTGTAGATTTTTCTACCTCATGATGTTTCATGATCAAGATAGAAGACGATAGAACTTGCTTATTAGAGTAAAGAGAACTATTATGCCTGTGCTTGAAGTGAGAGAAAGAGATGAATAGTTTCAGGGACAGAAATGGTTCAAAATGTTCCATACCACAGGAGTCACTGGGTTCTTTGCTCAGAGTTGGTAATTTTTTTTAAACAGAGTTGATTTGACGCTTGTAATCTGGTTTTGTGTCTTTCACTTATTCTGTTACATGGTAATTATAAACACAAGCTCAGATATATATGCAAAGGGCTGCATACGTCAGCTTTATGGCTAAATTTAATCGATCCAGAAGTTACCTAAACA